TTGAATCAAAAATAGGGTGTTCCATTTCAGAAAATCAATGTAACCTTGACCTGACTTTGGCTACGCAACCCAAGGTCAAACTGATAGGATCAGTAAATAGATATTTTTAAACCATATAACTTTTGTCCGAAACACTTTTCTGTAAAACTTATATTTCCCAAGATATTTAGGTGTCCCGACCTTTTTGGGACACCCTGTATACAGGGTGTCCCATTTTAAATTACGCACCTGAATATCTCGTCAGGGGAGCCACCAGTCCGAAAATAACCCTTACAAAAGTTGTTAGGTTCGGAGGGGGACATCGGATGGTGACCTTCAATTTGACCTTGACCTTCAAATCGAATTTTTAAAATAGAAACCCCTATTTCTGACCCCGGATTCGGAAAAAGCGCAAAATTTTACGTTTAAATGGGTACTTGAGGCTCTTCTTTGGAATGACCTTCAGAGGTTATTTCAAGGACAAAATATTTGAAATTACGTACTTGAATACATATCTTGTTGAGGAACACACCTGTGAACAAAACTAAAGTTTTACATTTGTTTTTTTTAGTAGCACGGAATTAGTTAGAGGGTACAGTTGTCAAACCTTATTACCGTGCGTTTTTGAAGACAATTTTTTTTCCTTAACGTTATTAGCATAAAAAAATTAATGTAATTGTGGAGAACGTGCCGGAGCTTGTTCTCATTAACTGTGGTTCTTTGTGCTGTGCTGTTGCGTTAAAATTGTTTTCTTTGTCGATGTTTAGTACTATCAGCGTGTATTTCATGATAAATTGTTGTAATGGGATACATATCTTAAATTGTAAAACTTCAAGTGCTACTATGTTAATACGGGCTGCGCTTTTTTTCTTGTTGAATAAAACGTTCATTTTTTTCTACTAAATATGCCAGTCTACACACGAAATGAGATTGTTGACATTCTCATGATCCTTGGCGAGTGTCGTGGTAATTACCGAGCGGCAGCACGATTGTATCGTGAGCGCTTCCCGGGCAAAGATCATCACCCAAATGACAGAGCAATTGCATTCATCGAAAGGCGCAAGAGACAGCAACCTGTTGCAAGGCAACATCGTCGTATTATGGTAATTGAACGAGACGATCCACGATTTCTTTCCGTGTTGGCTATGGTTGCTATTAATCCGCATATTTTGCTTCGAGAAATTGAGGCTGAATTAGGAATCCCAAGATCAACGGCTCAAAGAATTCTACAGCTCCACAGATTCCACCCTTACCATATTACTTTACCCAAGAATTGACTGCTCGTGACTTCCAGCGAAAATTAGAATTTTGTAATTGGGCTCAAGCAATGTTACGTCGTGACCCAGATTTCTTTAGGTACGTTATGTTCTCCGATGAAGCTACATTTCACAACACAGGACAGCTAAACCGACATAATTGTCATTATTGGTCTGCAGAAAATCCACACTGGTCTCGTATGATCGACCATCAAAATCGCTGGAGTCTT